TCCGGACAATTAGTATCTGCTTCAGTAGAATCAGAATTAGATGTGTATAGTTCTGATACAATTGAAGCAGATACAATTTGTCCGAATACATTAGTCTACATATAAAAGAATATGTATGGTGCCGATACAATTGGAGTAAATGCACTTGGTCCAGATACAATTGGAGCAGATACAACTGGTTCATATGCAATCAGAGCATAAACGTATGGTCCAGATACAATTGAATAGATACATTAAGCCCAGATAAAGTAGAAGATTTAACTGGTCCAGTCACAATTGGAGCAGAAATATTTGTTCCATATACAATTGGAGCGAAAAAAATTGGTTCAGATTACAATTTGGTCCAACGCTTGATCAAAGTACAATTGGAGCAGATACAATCAGTCCAGATACAATCGGAGCAGATACAACTGGTCCAGACACAACCGGAGCAGATACATTTAAACCAGATACGAAAAAAGCAGATAAAATTAACCCAGATACAATAGAAAATACAACCGGTCCATTCACAATTGGAGAAGATACATATGGTCTAGATACAATTGGAGTTGCTACACTTGGTCCAGATACACTTGGAGCACATATAACTGGTCTACATGCAATTGGAGCATGAACGTATGGTTCAGACACAATTGGAGCAGATTCAATTAGTCCAGATACAATGGAACAGCTAAAATGGATATTCATGTACAATTGGAGAGAATAATGTTTGCCAGATTGCAATTTGAGCAGATACAGTTGATCCATGTACAATTGGAGCAAATATAGTTTGTCCAGATACAATCGGAGCAGATACAACTGGTCCAGTCACAACTGGGGCAGATACCTTTAAACCAGAAACAAACGAAGCACAAATATTTAACCCAGATAAAATTGAACATACAACCGGTCCAGTCACAATTAGATAAGATACATATTGTCCAGATACAATTGGAGTAGCTACACTTGGTCCATCTACACTTGGAGCAGATACAACTGGTCCGTATGCAATTGGAGCATGAACATATGGTCCAGATACAATTGGAGTAGCTACACTTGGTCCAGATACAATTGGAGCAGATACAATTGGTCCATATGCTATTGGAGCATAAACATAGGGTCCAGATTAAAATTGGAGCGGATTCAGTTGGTCTAGATACGATGGAGCAGGTACAATGGAGCAAATACATTCAGCCCAGATACAATAGAACAATGATTGGAGCAAACACAAATGTTCCCTATACAATTGGAAAAGATACAAACGGTCCATATAAAATTAAAGAAGAAACGATCGATCCAGATGCAGTTGAAGCAGACACAAGCTGTTAATATACAATGTGAGCAGACGCAAGGAATAAAGATGACAGTGAAGCAGATACAGTTGGTCCAGACTCAACTGGAGCAGATACATTTAGTCCAGTTACAATTGGAGCAGATACAATTGATCCATATACCATTAATCCAGATACCATTGGTCCACATACAACCGGAGAAGGAGCCAATGGTCCATAAGCAATCAGAGAAGGTACAATCGGTCCAGCTACAATCGGAGCAGACACAATTGGTCCAGATACAAACGAAGCAGATACAACTGATTCATATACCAATGGTCCAGATACCATAAGTTCAGATACAGTTGCAGAAGATACAAATTGTCCGTAAAAGATTGGAGAAGGTGCGATCGGTCCGGATACAATTGAAGCCGGTACAAGTGTCCATGTGAATTGGAGCAGATACGTATGGTCCAAATACAGTTGGAGAAGTACTTGAACGATTTGTCCAGGTACTTTTGAAGCAAATACATTTAGCCCAGATACAATAGAAAGTACAATCTGTCCAGTCACAATTGGAGCAGAAACGTGCGGTCCAGATACGGTTGGAGCAAACACAATCGATCCATATACAAACGAAGAAGATACATCTAGTTCTTAAACAATTGAAGCAGATAAAATACGTCCTGATACATTGGGTACACATAAAGTTGGAACAGATACGTTCGGTCCGGATATATAATTGGAGTGGATAAAATTGGTCCAATTGGTACAATTCGCTCATATATATCAGTCCCCCAGCTTACCGAGGCCAATTTTAACCCTAGATTACCACCCTCAAAATTACCCCCAACAACGCCAGATAGTCACCGCTCCCAAGTGTACCCCAATCACACCAAATAGTTCAGATACAATCAAATCAATTGGAAAAGATACAATTGGTCCTTATAAAATTAGAAAAAGTACAAATTGTCCATATACAATTGGAGAAGATACGATCGGTCAGATACAATAAAATCACACAAAAATTGTACATAAAAATAGAGCAGATACGAATGGTCGTGTTATAATTGAAAAAAAAACACAATTGATCCAGATACAAACGAAGCAGATACATCTAGCTCGGATACAATTGAAGTAAATAAAAATGGTCCGTCTACGTTTGGTCCACATATAAATGAAGCAGATACGTTAGGTCCAGATACAATTGGAGCAAATACGTATGAGCAGATATAATTGGAGCAAATACGATCGGTTCAGATACAATTGAAGCAGATACAATTTGTCCGATCACATTATTCTACATAAAAAAGAATATGTATGGTGCGAATACAATTGTAGTAGACGCACTTGGTCCAGATATAATTGGAGCAGATACAACTGGTTCATATAAAATCGGAGCAAAAACGTATGGTCCAGATACAATTGAATAGATACATTAAGCCTAGATAAAGTAGAAGTTTTAACTGGTCCAGTCACAATTGGAGCAGAAACATTTGTTCCATATACAATTGGAGAGAAAAAAATTGGTTACAATTTGGTCCAACGCTTGATCCAAGTACAATTGGAGCAGATACAATTAGTCCAGATACAATCGGAGCAGATACAACTGGTCCAGACACAACTGGAGCAGATACATTTAAACCAGATACAAACAAAGCAGATATAATTAACCCAGATACAATAGAAGATACAACCGGTCCATCACAATTGGAGAAGATACATATGGTCTAGATACAATTGGAGTTGCTACACTTGGTCCAGATACACTTGGAGCACCTACAACTGGTCCATATGCAATTGGAGCATGAACGTATAGTTCAGACACAATTGGAGCAGATTCAATTAGTCCAGATACAATGGAACAGCTAAAATGGAGTTTCATATACAATTGGAGAGAATAAAGTTTGTCCAAATTGCAATTTGAGCAGATGCAGTTGATCCATGTACATGGGAGCAAAAATAGTTTGTCCAGATACAATCGGAGCAGATACAACTGGTCCAGTCACAACTGGGGCAGATACATTTAAACCAGAAACAAACGAAGCAGAAATATTTAACCCAGATAAAATTGAACATACAACCGGTCCAGTCACAATTAGATAAGATACATATGGTCCAGATACAATTGGAGTAGCTACACTTGATCCATATACACTTCGAGCAGATACAACTGGTCCGTATGTAATTGGAGCATAAACATATGGTCCAGATACAATTGGAGTAGCTACACTTGGTCCAGATACAATTGGAGCAGATACAATTGGTCCAATGCAATTGGAGCATAAACATAGGGTCCAGATACAATTGGAGCGGATTCAGTTGGTCTAGATACGATGGAGCAGATACAATGGAGCAAATACATTCAGCACAGATACAATAGAACATTGATTGGAGCAAACACAAATGTTCCCTATACAATTGGAAAAGATACAAACGGTCCATATAAAATTAAAGAAGAAACGATCGATCCAGATGCAGCTGAAGCAGACACAAGCTGTTAATATACAATGTGAGCAGACGCAAAGAATCCAGATGAAATTGAAGCAGATACAGTTGGTCCAGACTCAACTGGAGCAGATACATTTAGTCCAGTTACAATTGGAGCAGATAAAATTGGTCCATATACCATTAATCCAGATACCATTGGTCCACATACAACCGGAGAAAAGACAATGGTCCATAAGCAATCAGAGAAAGTACGATCGGTCCAGCTACAATCGGAGCAGACACAATTGGTCCAGATACAACTGATTCATATACCAATGGTCCAGATACCATAGGTTCAGATACAGTTGCAGAAAAAACAAATTGTCCGTAAACGATTGGAGAAGGTGCGATCGGTCCGGATACAATTGAAGCCGGTACAAGTGTCCATGTACAATTGGAGCAGATACGTATGGTCTAAATACAATTGGAGAAGTACTTGGACGATTTGTCCAGGTACTTTTGAAGCAAATTTATATAGCCCAGATAAAATAGAAAGTACAATCTGTCCAGTCACAATTGGAGCAGAAACGTGCGGTCCAGATACGGTTGGAGCAAACACAATCGATCCATATACAAACGAAGAATATACCTCTAGTTCTTAAACTATTGAAGCAGATAAAATACGTCCGGATACATTGGGTACACATAAAGTTGGAACAGATACGTTCTGTCCGGATATATAATTGGAGTGGATAAAATTGGTCCAATTGGTACAATTTGCTCATATATATTAGTCCCCCAGCTTACCGAGGCCAATTTTAACCCTAGATTACCGCCCTCAAAATTACCCCCAACAACGCCAGATAGTCACCGCTCCCAAGTGTACCCCAATCACACCAAATAGTTCAGATAGAATCAAATCAATTGGAAAAGATACAATTGGTCCTTATAAAATTAGAAAAAATACAAATTGTCCATATACAATTGGAGAAGATACGATCGGTCAGATACAATTAAATCATACACAAAAATTGTACATAAAAATAGAGCAGATACGAATGGTCGTGTTATAATTGAAAAAAAAAACACAATTGATCCAGATACAAACGAAGCAGATACATCTAGCTCGGATACAATTGAAGTAAATAAAAATGGTCCGTCTACGTTTGGTCCACATATAAATGAAGCAGATACGTTAGGTCCAGATACAATTGGAGCAAATACGTATGAGCAGATATAATTGGAGCAAATACGATCGGTTCAGATACAATTGAAGCAGATACAATTTGTCCGAATACATTATTCTACATAAAAAAGAATATGTATGGTGCCAATACAATTGTAGTAGACGCACTTGGTCCAGATACAATTGGAGCAGATACAACTGGTTCATATAAAATCGGAGCAAAAACGTATGGTCCAGATACAATTGAATAGATGCATTAAGCCTAGATAAAGTAGAAGATTTAACTGGTCCAGTCACAATTGGAGTAGAAACATTTGTTCCATATACAATTGGAGAGAAAAAAAATGGTTACAATTTGGTCCAACGCTTGATCCAAGTACAATTGGAGCAGATACAATTAGTCCAGATACAATCGGAGCAGATACAACTGGTCCAGACACAACTGGAGCAGATACATTTAAACCAGATACAAACAAAGCAGATATAATTAACCCAGATACAATAGAAGATACAACAATAGAAGATACAACAGATACACTTGGTCCAGATAAAAATGGAGCAGATACAATTGGTCCAAACTCAGCTGGAGTAGATATAACCAGTTTAAAAACATTGGAAGTAGATACAATTGATTCAGATACCATTGGTCCAGATACGATTGGTCCAGATAACATTGGTCCATATACCATTGGTCCAGTTACAATTGGAGAAAAAACAATTTTTCCATAAGCAATTGGTGAAGATACGGTCGGTCCAGATCCAACTGAAGCCGGTACAATTAGTCCATATACAATTGGAGCAGATAGGTGTGACCCAAATACAATTGGAGGAGTTACGATTGGTCCAGTTACTATTGAAGCAGATACAATTGGTCCTGATAAAAACGGAGCAGATGCAGTTGGTCCAGATACAATAGAAGATGCATACTGTCCAGTCTTAATTGGAGCAGATACGTATGTTTCAGATACAATTGAATTAGATGCACTTGATCCAAATTTAATTGGAGCATATACAATTGGTCCATATACAATGGAGCAGATGATTTACCCCGGATACAAGAGAAGAAGCATCAATCCAGTCAGAATTGGAGCGGATTCAATTGGTCCAAATACAATTAGAGAAGATGAAATTGGTCCAGATGATAATTTAAGCAGATACGTATGGTCCAGGTTCAATTGGAGCAGTAACAACTGGCCCAGATGCAATCGGAGCAGATACAATTGGTCCAGACATAACTGGAGCAGATAGATTTAGTCCAGGTACAATCAGGCCATAAAAATTGGTCCGAACAGAACATGCGCAGATACATTCAGTCCAGATCAATTGGCTGCATACCATTGGTCCAGATACAATTGGAGAAGATACAAATAGTCCATATACAGTTGGAGAACATACGATCGGTCAAGATACAATGAAGCAGATACAAATGGTCCATATACACTTGGAGCAGGAACGTACGGTCCAGATAAGAATGGAGCAAACACAATCGATCCAGATACAAACGAAGGAGATACATCTAGTTCTGATACAATTGCAGCAGAGAAAAGATGTCCGGATACATTTGGTAGACATATAGTTGAAACAGATACGTATGGTCCAGATACAAACGGTCCAATTGGTACATTTGGTCCAGATAAATTAGTCCCCCAGTTTACTGAGACCAAATTTAACCCTAGATTACCGCCCTCAAAATTACCCCATACACGCCAGGTGATCACCGCTCCCATGTTCACCCCAATCACACCAAATAGTTGAGATACAATCAGATCAATTGGAGCAGATACAACTGTTCCACATACAATTGAAAAAAAAAATTCCATATACAATTGGAGAAGTTTCGATCGGTCAGATAAAGTTAAATCAGATATACAGTCTATATACAATTGGCGCAAATACATTTGGTCCGGATAAAGTTGGAGCAGATGCAATTGGTCCAGACTAAGCTGGAGCAGATATATTCAGTTTAAATACAATTGGAGCAGATACAATTGGAGAAGATACAAATTGTCCATAAGCAATTGCAGAAGATACGGTCGGTCCAGATCCAATTGAAGCCGGTACAATTGGTCCATATTTAGTTGGAGCAAATACGTATGATCCTAATACAATTGGAGGAGTTACGATTGGTCCAGTTACTATTGAAGCAGATACAATTGGTCCGGATAAAAACGGCGCAGATGCAGTTCGTCAAGACACAACTGGAGCAGACACAAAATATCCGTATACAAATGAAGCAGATACATTTAGCCCAAATATAATAGAAGATACATTCTTTCCAGTCACAATTGGAGCAGATACGTATGTTTCAGATCCAATTGAAGCCGGTACAATTGGTCCATATACAGTTGGAGCAGATACGTATGACCCAAATACAATTGGAGGAGTTACGATTGGTCCAGTTACTATTGAAGCAGATACAATTGGTCCGGATAAAAACGGAGCAGATGCAGTTCGTCAAGACACAACTGGAGCAGACACAAAATATCCATATACAAATGAAGCAGATACATTTAGCCCAGATATAATAGAAGATACATTCTGTCCAGTCACAAATGGAGCAGATACATATGTTTCAGATACAATTGGAGTAGATACAGTTGGTCCATATACAATGGAGCAGATAATTTATCCCAGATACAAGAGAAGATGCATCAATCCAGTCGCAATTGGAGCCGGTTCAATTGGTCCATATACAATTAGAGAAAATGAAATTGGTCCAGATGATAATTTACGCAGATACCATTGGTATATATACAGTTGGAGCAGGGGCGTACGGTCCCGATACGATTGGAGCAAACACAATCGATCCAGATACAAACGAAGGAGATACATCTAGTTCTGATACAATTGCAGCAGAAAAAAGATATCCGGATACGTTTAGTAGACATATAGTTGAAACAGATACGTATGTTCCAGATGCAATTGGTCCAATTGGTACATTTGGTCCAGACAAATTAGTCCCCCAGTTTACTGAGGCCAAATTTAACCTAGATTACCGCCCTCAATTTCAACCCAACCACGCCAGGTGATCACCGCTCCCATGTTCACCCCAATCACACCAAATAGTTGAGATACAATCATATCAATTGGAGCAGATACAACTTTTCCACATACAATTGAAGAAAAAAAAACAAATGATCCATATACAATTGGAGAAGTTTCGTCAAATGGAAATTTTTCAAAACACAATACCTTATTAATTCTTCAAAACACAATCCCTTAGGGCACATTATAAATTCTTTACAACTCTGCATTAATCACGGCCTATTTGGAATCTAATGTTACTTAATTTTTCATAATACGCGCGTATGTTTATTGCCATGTCCAAAAATTTCCACCCAGTTTACCGAGGCCACATTTAACCATAAATTACTGCCCCCAATATGTGAACTGTGTTTTTTTATCAGTGATTTATGAATTTTAACTTGTCGATAACGGTATCGTGAAGCGTAGAAAGAAGTTGATGACAAAGACTATCCAAAAACAACAGATTTCAGATGACAAATGAGTGAAAATAGCATGAAAATTACTTAGAGATCTTATTTAGTTCTTTGATTAGTAAACACCAGTTGTTCAAACGCAAATCAGGTTATTGATAATCATAATTGTATAATTTATGCATTTCAAAAGTGCACTACTTATTTTTCAACGAACTTCTTAACAAATACGTTTGATCGGTTCTGTGAAAATACACGTTTGATCGGTTCTGCAAAAATATTTGCTAAGTTCTTTTTTTATCCTTTTCTTTTTCATTCAAAAATTTAGTTTTTCTTAATTCCGTTCCGTTTGTATTCAGTTCCCGGGTCGAGGTTGTGGTTTTATGATCTGACATTCGCGACCAAGTTTTGGAATTCTCAGACGGCCGCGACCGAAAATGGACATTTTCAGACCGTCGCGACTAAAAATTGGGTTTTCCAGACTTTGCGGACCGAGGCAATGTGTCCGCAACCGGCGCGATCAAAAGAAAGTTAACCGCGGCAGACGCGACTAACTTTTCGACCGCCGCGACTAATGTTTTCGACCACCGCGACTAATTTTTCGACCGCCGCGACTAAATTTTCGACCACGGCGACTAATTTTTTGACGGCCGCAACTAATTTTTCGACCGCGGTTCTCATACCGACAAAGTCGACTAAATTTTTGACGCCACGACCGAAAAGTTCGACTATTCTTTCGACCGCTGCAACTAAATTTTAGGCCTCCGCGACTGCATTTTCGACCACGACGACTAATTTTTTGACCGCGGTACTCATACCGACAAAATCGACTAATTTTTGACCCCACGAACGACAAAGTCGACCATTTTTTTGACCGCCACGACTAAATTTTCGACCGCCGCAACTATTTTCTCGACCGCCACGACCACTTTTTCTACCGCTGGGACTAATTTTTCGACCATCGCGACCAAGATACGGTATTTCCAGGGTTTTTCTGCGACTTGAACCCCTGTCCAGACTATGGATTTTCGGTCGCGGAATTAAAGAAAAAAATTAGTTGCGGATCTCGACCCTGGTTATTTTAAAATAGTCCAATTTGCTGGTCGTCTCAATTCCTCTGCCCTAAGTTTGTGTTTCTATTTATACAGCCAACTTGATTTTCTCTTGCACTACTGTTTTTGTGAAATATGACGAAAATTTTGTGCTCTGGTTTTCTGTTCTCCAAAATAATTTCAACTTTTTAAACAAATTTATTCTACCATCGGAAAGCCAGAGATATCTTGCGCTCAACTTTGAAGAGATGTTTTACTTGTAATCATTTTTCGAAAGGATTCAGGGTTTGGTAAATGACAAAGACACGGGCCCGATCTATTCGGTGAACTCAATAACGAGCTTAAAAGTGACAGAATTTTGGCGTGTAATTGAACGTCTAGGGCGGTAAATGAATAACAGTTTCACAATTTTGTTGCCCTGAAATTGAAGATCAAAAAGATTAACAGCTGTAAAAAAAAGTGAATCAAAATTTGGCTGCCATAAGGCTAAAAATTGAGATTTTGAATTTCATATGGTCCCAATGTTCCAATGCTTCAGCCAAATTAATTTTCAGCCAATCAAATTTGCGTTTACTGCCATCTTTTTTTCCGTAAGGAACTAAAAAAAAATGGTGCAATAAACCGCAAATAAAATAATGTGTTTCTGAGTTCGGATTGGTTGAAGTTTAACTCAACATTCAGATGGAATTGTTGTATGCATCAAATCAAGTGGCTGTGTGTATTGTGACTGTGCAATTGCGAACGCGTCGTGAGCTAGATGAGTTATATCCTTTTGGTTATACTTATAGAGTAATTTCAGATAAGGTACACCGTCTGCTCGTCACGCTATCTTATTTTCGGCCGGATAGATTCGTGCAACTTTTTAGTCTAATACCAATCCTAATATTACTCTTACATCTCCTAGTCTCAATAGATCTATTGTACACCGGTTTATGCGAGTTAGTTCCAGAATGAGAACAACTGTATTCTAAGCTTAATTCAAATTGTTCTGGTGTTGAAACTACAAGTAATTTCAGCACTTACAAATAATTGGGTTGTTAGTTTGATGGAGCATGATTGGTTAGTATTCAATATTTAAAAGAGATAAAATATCAGAATAATATCCAATAATAAATTCTAGTTTAGATCTGGTTCCACCCATCCTGGGTTTAAAAAGTTTTCGTTCTTCAGTGTTCTATTGTAGTGGAGTATGGATGATTCTTAAGAAATTGCGAGCGTAGTCTTTTTTACGATAAGGAAGAAGGATTGTTATCATGATCGTTTCGGGAGATCGTATCATGACTTCTGATCGGTTGTGATAAGTGTTGATTTGGTTGATTATAGAATGGCAATGTTCCAATCTCGTTTGGAAGTGGCATGTAGTTTGACCTTGGATGAAGTGCCTGATGACTTGGATCTGTACGTATACTTGAACATCGAGATGGCCATTGTTTGGTTGCAATGGGTTTCCTTTGCTGCGATGCCAAGTCGTACTTTAAATCCGTTGAGTGTAGTGACTGTAGGCGGCATGTCGGTTGTGTTTTGCCATTCCGTAGTTGGAGTGTGATTGGGTTGTCAAGTTCCTTGCTGCTCGTCTTTGGGCTGTATGTTATCTATATACTGCATTGTATTTTATACATATACAAATCTTTGTTAATTTTGCATTTAGTTATGATCTTGTATTAATTTTTATCGCAAAAACCCACGGTGGGTTAGGCCGACTATAGAGCATGCTCAGGACGTCCTCTCTGTTGGGTTTGGCCAGGAGTGGGAGTATAAAATCAGGCTCTCTTTTTTGGAGGGTCCTGTTTGTGTTCAACCTTTCGTGTTTTTTTTATTACAGGTTTTTTCCTTCTTTGTCTTGGTTGTGTCTTTTTCTTCAAAATTCAATTCGTTTGTTTTGGGTTTATCTTTCGACTTTTTTGTGTTTTGTTCTTTTGTGTTCAGACTTGAAAATAGTCTTCAAAAGAATAATTTATCCAGTTCTAAGCTGGTTTTAATCCGTTTGGGTACCGTGGGTTTTCTTTGCTTAGTCATGCTGTTAGGTTGTGGTTTGTGGTGTTTAAAAAGCTGCGTTGGTTAGTTTGGTTTATTATATAATTCCTTTCCAACCGGGTTAAAGGAAAGTTTGAAATGTGTTAAAACTGGTTAGAGTTGTTATCAGTGAAAGTTAAAACTTAAATTCATTATTTTAAATAATTTTTCGTGGGCGAGCTGTGCGATTGTGGATAGGATTGTGGGCGAGTGAATATTTAAAACTATAAAGAAGCGTCTTTGAAAAGGTTAGTACTGCTATAATTTTATAGGCAACTTTTATTTTTTTACTACTTTGAAATTATTAATTTTGCTGCTTTATTTGGGGTTGAAATTATCAATTTTTTTTCATTGTAAGAATATTTATTGCATATGGGAAAAAAATTTATATATCTATCAATTTACTGCTGTTTTGGGGGTAAATTTTACTGCTTCATTTTTTAAATTTTGTTAATAGAAATTTATGATTCTTAGAAAAAAGTTTTCTGTTTTTTCTTTCGTTTTTCTTTTTTGTAGATGATTGATGATCGTGCCTGTGAAGACTATAGAAAAAGAGAAAACATTTATAAAGAATGGTTAGTTTTTGTTCTAATTTATTAGTATAATTTGTTTAATTCATATTACCTTATTCGTCTGTGAAGAATCGGTGGGGAAAAACGTCGTGGATGATCTCTGATGATGTTAGTAATTTAGCGATCAAACGAATGATGTATTTAGTTTGGAGAAGTGGTCAAAGCAATTCGAGTGCTTTAATGATGTTGTGCTCTTCAGTGCTAGGTGAGAGTTAATAAGGTGTATTTTGAATGGGGTTCTAAAGTTTATGGTTATATCTGGTGTTATGGATGAATTCTAGAATCGGGATTTCAACGGGCTGTAGGAATTCGCATGGGACGATTAGTGGGATAGATTCGTCTTTATTGAAAATTTTGGTTAAGGGACAGAATATATACATCTGGGTGATGGGATCATAATTGCGGAGGATGCCTTGTAGGTTAGTATCTTCAATACAATAAGTGAAGTTAAGAAAGAATGGTGAGGTATATGTAGAGTTAATGTGGTGAATTTGTCGTGCTGGTGTAGTTTGAGTGATATGATGTTGGATGAACTTATAGTACGTATAAGTGTATGTCTGTTTAATTTGTAACATGACGTCGTGTGAACAGTGCAAATCACGTTCTTTGGGTGTGAGGAAATGAATGGATAGTGAGAAGTTTTCAAGTTTGTTAAAAAATGAATCATAAGCTTGAATATCAGGAAGTGCTGCTGAAATGACGCGGTCGTATTTTTTATCCAAAGTATTGAGGGTGAAAACGTATGGTGTTTTAATGAAGAATTTTTCTGTTAGTTGTGGGTTAGCAAATATGTCGTCGTTCAGAAAGCTGTCTTCGTTGGGTCTTATGATGTTATGGTCGTAGTGATCGATATATATTCGTTAGTTTTGCGTGCGGTGAATCTTAAAAGGGACTGTTTATATCCTATTTGTGTAAATTGTTTTGGAGTGAGTGCTTTTGTTGAAAGATAGAATTGATTGCTGGATTCTTTTTTATCAAATGGGGTGTTATATAATGGTAATGATAGTGGAATAGTAAAGTGATAAAATGATGTCCATGAGAGTGTAGGATATAATACGTGCTCATTAACATAATTAGGGTTTTCGCCATTAGGGTCTGAATGAAAGTAGCTGTATTGGGGGAAAAAGGGTAAACATATTTGGAGTAATTATCTTATGTTAGTGTGAAGTGGGTGATTAACAAATGTTGAGGCTGTTCCTGGGGGAGAGGGAAATGGAGTATTGGGGATTTTTCTTTTAAAGGTTCGGTAGGCTCTGTTTGTACTGGATGAGGATGGATTTGACGAGGGAGTTGGGTCTTGCGAAGGGGTGTAATTTGAAGAGGGAGTTGGAGTTGATGGATTTGATGATATTATGGATTGTGAAAGTTGGTGAATGGTTAGTGTTTGAGGGTGCTGTAATTGTTGCTGAAGTGTGATGAAATTGTCAAGTTCATGAGATATTTGTATATTTACAGAGCTGTTGTTGTCGGAAGGTTCACCGGTCAAGGAGGAATATGTGGGTGTTACATTGGAAATAGAAGAGGGAGTGGAAGGGGGTTCAAATCTTATTTGGGAGTGGAGAGGTTGAAAGGGAGATTAGGAAACTGTAGATGGGCTGGGTTCTGAGTTGTCAAGTTTGTCGGGGGTCTCGAGATCTGAGTTGTTAAATTGGGAAATACTAATATACACAGTAGTGTTTGAGTTAGTATCTGAATCCATGCACTTTTTTGTGTTCTTTTGTGTTCTTTTGTGAATCAGAATTTGTGTTCTTTCAAGTTCGCATAATTGATGTAGTGCTTCAAGTTCTGTTAAAGACATTTCTCGAAAAATTCTACTTATTTAATAGTCTAGTTTCATTTCTAGGTGTATGTCATAATGAATTGCGCAAAAATGAGTGTTGTTCATTAGTGATAGTTCTTGTAAACGTGTACTGTCTTTGTCTTGTGGTTTTATTTTTCCACCGATGTTTTCTGTGTTTTTAGTAGATTTACTGGGATGTATGAATATTCGTCGCTGATTGAGTAATGTATTGCATGCTGATGTATGATTAATTTTCCTGTATTCATAACAAAACCTTGTTCGTATTCGACAAGAATTTCTGAATATTGCGTTTTATAAAAAGGTTTGTTGTATTTACATTCAAGTTCCGTTTCTGAGTAAATTTGAAAACGTGTCAATTTATTTTCTAAATTATTTATGTTTCTAAAATTAAAATTACTCTGTATGATTTGATGAGGGCTTACGTCTTCTTAAGGGATTGATTCAGTAAAATATTTTTGGTGAAACTTTATCATTCTACAGTGTATTTTTGCTACTTGAAATGTGGTACATGTGTCTTCAGGAAACCAAAAAATTGTTGCTGGTGTTCGTGTAGTGGGATCGCAGTATCCTTGGTCAGTTTTGCAAGGGAGTCTGATTCCTTAATAAATTATGGTGCCATCTTTTAAATCTCGTGTTAATTGCACTTTTTCATGTTGTATTTTCCAATCAAAAAACATTATTTCTTGGTATCCTTTATTTTTAGTGTCTGTTTTACAATTTGAGGGATTGTTTATTCCAATGTGTGGTATCCAATTTTTATCATGGAGATCGTAAGTTACTCTTCCATGTGCTCCGTGGAATGGAAGTTTGTCGTCTTGTTTCATTTGACCTTGGTATTTTCATTATGTTCGGCTTGATGTGCAGATTCTGGAAAAACTTGAAAGTTGACCAATTTTCTGGTTGTGCCTTTGTTTGATGTTAATTTTAATCGTTTAAGTTCGTTTTTACAACCGTCGGTGCTGAGATGTAATAGTCTTTTGATATTACTTTGGTAGAAAGATTCATGATCTAGTCTATTTTTATTTCCGTTTGAGACTTGAGAACCATGTATTTTCTTTTCAGAAAATGTCGCTGTGAATTTATATCCTGTTAGTGTTGTAGCTCGTGCTTTTGAAAAAAGTGTAGCTATTATGTTTGTTGTTTTTTTGACCGTGGTTCGGATTCGCCTTGAGTGACTGAATTTATTGCATTTTTATGTAACGTTTTTTGTTCATTTTCTTCACAGTCATAGTGTGTGACTGTAAATCCTGGGGTCTTGTTCGAGGGGAAGGATTGTTATGATCGGGTTTTGAGAAATTAAGAAAGAGAAGGGTCTGGAAAATTAAAATTTTTAGAAGATACATGTGTATCATAGTCCTGAGTATGGATTATAAAAAGTTATATATCCAATTGTCTTTTTTGTGTATCTATCGTATTTGTAGATAATTTCAGTGGTTATAAATAGGGGAGGTAAAGATTGAGCTGTTATATTTGGGGGGGGGGGCTAGGGTAAGGGATAGTGAAAATTATTATTTAGTCTTACTGTGATTTCAAATTTTAGTGTCAGATTATCCTGTGTAAGTATTTGTATGTTATGTTCTTGTATATCTTTGTGGATATCTTGTCGGTATTGTAATCTGTTTAGTGCCCAGTTGTGTAATCTGTTACTTTCGTGATGTTGACCAAATAATTGAGGGGATGCTACGAATGTATTCCAGTCTAATCGTAGGTGTATGTTATTGGTTGAACTTTCTCTATATCTAGCGCCGAGACTTGTAGGGAAAATTGGATTAAATGGTGTTTGTGAGGTTTGAGTTAGAGAAGGGGTTGAAGGGAGTGAAAGTATTTCTGGTAGTTACAAAGTTGTGTCAGATGAAAAGTCTATTGGATCGTTCACTAAAATTGGCTCACTTTGCGTAAAAGCTTGTGTTATCCAATATGGGAGATGTTCTGTAGTAGCTGCGGGATCAAAAGTATTTTCTCGAACTTGATCAGATGTAGGGGTTAAATCAGATGTAGGGGTTGATGTGCTTTGTTGTGATGGGGTCTGAGGAGTACTTTGAATTGTACTACTGGAAAGGTCTATAGGATTTACTATTGGTGAATGAGGTATGTTGAATTGAACTCTGGGGGTATGCAAATTTCTATTTCGTCTTGGATGTATAATTTGTCAATTTATTTCGAGCGTGTTTAGGTTTTGACCTTGGTGTCTTGCTCTATTAAGATCTTGTTGGTAAGGGGGTTTATATTAAATACTGGTTTGCATTGTGGTTCGCTCAGAGATGCTTGGCGAATTACTGGTTCTAGTGGTTCGGACAATCGTGCGTGTCTTTCCTCAAATGTATATGGATTGTCTTGAAAAGGATTGATGATTGGGGGTTATTTGTTTGACTATTTGTTGGTGTTTATGGAGGTTCTTGGGATATTGTTGGTGGGGACTGGTGTGGGGAAGGTTGATTAGCAAATTTGGAAAGATTTAAAATTTATTTATTTACGAAGAAATTTTATGATTATTTTAATATTCTTCGATAGAAAGGATTATAAGTATCGTTGCTAATGCGAAAGTTATGATAGTTTTTTTTATACATTTGCATATTGTCATTATGAGGGATGTCAGAAATGTGAGAAAAATTATAAAAGGAAGAAAAACATCTGTTCTACTGAATAGATGTTGGAACATTTAGATAGTTATAGAAATATCGTACCTGAGGATTGATACCTGAGGCCGTGTCAAAAATGAGATGATGATTCCGAAAGGTTCTTATTGGTTGAATTTGAACTAGTTTGTTCAAGTGCTTTTCAGCATGAATTTTGAGAAAATGTGCGGATTATGAAAAGATCTTTCAAGAGGTGAAAAGATTAATTAATTTTAGAGTGGTTTATATTCAACTTTCTTTAATATTTTAGATTGAGGAATATATGTTTTATAATCTTTTTGTGGCTGATTTCGAAGTCGCGATGATTTTCTCAGTGGAGATTGTTCTTTTTGTATTTGTGGTAGAGTTTTCTCTTCTAATTTTCAATTTTTTTTCTGTTTGAGTTATCTTTTAATTATCAAAATTTTTAGATGTTTGTTTGTTAAGTGTGTGATCGGAGTTATTTTGAATAATTTTGAGTCCTGTAAAGGAGTATAATCGAGTCAGTTTGCGAGGAGCGTACTCTTTTGGATAAGAAGGTAGAAGATTGTTTCGGTGTTGAACAATTTTTTTTTGTTTAGGTCTATAAGTTTGTATGTTACATCAGTGGGTTTATCAATTATTTGATATGGTCTTTTTGGAGTAGTTGTAACTTTTTAGAAAATCTTTTTTGTGTTGTGAAGTTTAGAATTAAATTGTATGTTCCAATTTTTAAGTTTGTAGCTGGTCTGAATCGATAATTTATTTGCGAATTAATGTTTTGTATTTGTAATACTTTTTTTGTTACTCTTTGATAAATTTCATTATGTTTTTTCTATCTCTATTTAAAATCCATTCGGTGTGTGTACCGGAAGCTAATTTGAAAATTTGTGGATGATGAAAGTGATCTTCATCGTGGGTATGTAGTGGTAGATTATAACATATTGATTTTTTAGTGGGTTGACAATAACCTTGTGTAATTTTTGAAGAATTTGCTTTGAACATTATCGTTTTTCGTGGTTTTTGATTGAAAACCGTTTCGTAGGGTGACAGTCCTAAAGTTGTTGTGATTTGTGAATTATAAGATAAGGGGAATAGTTTTACATCTGTTGACCATTCCGTATATCGTGTGTTCTTTCAGTTAATGATACATCTGAGATTTTCTTGTAACGAACGGTTCATGCCTTCGACTAATCCATTAGTCCAAGGTGCATGAGATGTACCTGGTTTGTGTTTAATATTATATAAGTGGCATAGTGTGATATTTTTATGTTTATAAATTCAGTGCCCTTATCTGTAACAAGGATTTCGGGTAAACCAAATTTTGCTATCCAGTGTTCATAAAGTGTTGTATATGCATAATAAGCATTACATTGGGGTACTGGGTTAAGTGCTACGTAGTGTGTAAATGCGTCGCCTATGAACATTATATATGAGTTTCCTTCGGAGGATGGTGATATTGGTCCTTTTGTATCAAATGAAATTCTGTGGTTGAATTAAAGACTTTGTCCTTTAAAATCTTGTTTTTCTGCATTTGTTTTTGGTTTGGATATGGTTTGTTTAATTGGCATGTTTTGCAATCATTGCATAATACTTTAAATCAAATTGGTGCATTTGGAAAGTAAAAACTTTGTATGAAAATGGAGTTTGTTTTTTTTCTGATCCTGAGTGTCCTTTAGTGTGTAATGAGTGGGAGGTATGAAAAGCTATAAGCTTCATACTTAAAGGTAGACAATATACTGTGAGATCAGATGTTTGGTATTCTAAAATATCTGTATTCTCGTTGATAGAGGTATTATTAATTTTTCTGAAATATCTAAGAAGGGTTTTATTTCCTAGAATAGCGATATCGGATTTAATTGGTTTGGTTTTATATTTGTTCCAAAATTTTAATTGTCTAATGACTGGTTCAAGACTTTGATGTTTCTGTAATAATTCGAGTGTTGTTTTTTGAGTTATTCTGAGGAAAATGTTTTCAATTTCTATTTTTGTAGAGGTATTGTATCTAGATGGCCATGGAGGTTAAAGACTTGGTTTATTGTATATTTTGAGTCATTATTTGGTGGGCCTGATAAATTTCTATTAGCAGTTAGGTTTTCTTTTTCTATTAAAGGGAATAGATCTGTTTTGTATAATTTTTGTTTGATTGGTTTTTGCTGTGTGTTGTTTTGTT